ATCCGGAACAGAGCCACCTCAACTGGTTCCTCTCGAAGTGGCGAAGCAGCGGGTGATCCCAACCGCTTCACACTCGGCTGCAAACCGTCCCAGTGCATGCTGCAGGTCCGGGTTCGTTGGAGCCAACAGGACAACATCGTCTGCAAACAGCAGAGATTAAATCCTGTGGTCTCCGAACCGGACCCCCCTCCGGCCCCTGGCTGTGGTCTCCGAACTGGACCCCCCTCCGGCCCCTGGCTGTGGTCTCCAAACCGGACCCCTCCGACCCCTGGCTGCGCCTAGAAATTCTGTCCATAAAGACAGTGAACAGAACCGGTGACAAAGGGCAGCCCTGTCGGAGGCCAACATTCACCAGGAACAGGTCTGACTTACTGCTGATGCGAACACAGCTCTGGCTCTGGTCATACAGGGACCGGACGGCCCTCAGCAGAGGACCCCGGACCCCGTACTCCCGGAGAACCCCCCTAAGGACACCCCGGAGAACACGGTTGAACGCCTTCTCCACAAAGCACATGTGGACAGGTTGGGCGAACTCCCATGAACCCTCGAGTATCCGATGGAGAGTGTAGAGCTGGTCCAGTGTTCCACGACCGGGACCAAAACCACACTGCTCCTCCTGGATCCCAGAACATCGGTTGTTTGTGCCACATTTAAAAAAGGTTGGGGACCACTGCTGTAGAGTAAGGACCCAGAGCTACAGAGTGTGTGTCTTAAAGAACATTCCACATTAAGTGTAAAATGTGTTACTGCCCCAAAGCTCAATAATGTCAACACAAATGCCAACACTAGTCTTTCTTTCTCCCCGAGCAGCAGCGTCTGGGATTCTGCTGAAAAATGCAGATATGAAGCAAAATGTTCCCGATTTATGTCGAGCTCTGCTTTAATGTTGACATTATTGATAGACTCAGGTCCAGGTTTGCTGAACACACGGAGATTGGACAGATCTGGTGAACGCACCAACTTTAAAACATACAATTCCAGTGTAGTTTGTTCACATTAGCTGCCAAACTCACGCAGCTGAAGATACTAAAGATAATATCTCTTGTTCTTCATATTTTTCTTCTTGTTTTGAAGAAATCTTAACAAGTGGAAGAATCATTTTGTTTAAAGATCATTTATTTTGTTTAAAACCAGTACATTTCTTTTGATAACAGTCTAATTATATATATGTATATAAATAAGGTAAAGGTAAAGGTGCACTTTATTGATCCCCGTGGGGCAGTTCATCCTCTGTGTTTGACCCTGATGCCCTAAGGCTTACGTCAGGAGCAGTGGTCGCCGTAGTAACAGCGCCCAGGAACCATCTGCAGATGTTGACGCTCGGCTCGAGGATTTAAACCTTGTGAGCATGTTTTTTCTTTATCTTAAATGAAACATATTTCTAATAGAAACGCTTCATCCATTGCCGGATGATTGAAAATTCGGCGGACCAGCAGTCTTGATGATCCACTCGGAAGTAGAAAATTCTCCCATATACAGTATCTTGAAATTGAGTTTGAAAATGTTTTTCTTGGGTTTAAGTCCCTGCAGCTCTCGCATACATTTACAGAGTTTTGTTTTGAACCGATAGTGACAGAAAAGTGTTGGTCTTTGACACCGTTTTATATAAATATACTCTTTTCCCTCACGGTGCCCACAGGACGTCTCCAAATGTCACACGGCCTCGGACAGTAGGAGCTGCACAAGATTGAATTTGCAGGGCTGCCTCGTCAGCACTTTCCCAGCTCTGTGCAGCTGAACGCAGACTCATGTGTTTCGGTCAGAGCCGACTTCAGGAACCCTGTGCTCTGGGTTTAAGGCCCTGTGCTCTGGGTTTAAGACCACAGAGAAGGCCCTGTGCTCTGGGTTTAAGACCACAGACAAGGCCCTGTGCTCTGGGTTTAAGACCACAGAGAAGGCCCTGTGCTCTGGGTTTAAGACCACAGAGAAGGCCCTGTGCTCTGGGTTTAAGACCACAGAGAAGGCCCTGTGCTCTGGGTTTAAGACCACAGAGAAGGCCCTGTGCTCTGGGTTTAAGGCCCTGTCAGAGGTTTTTCAAAATCCTATCTATAATCAACAATAATGTACTCACAAACTTGGTCTAAAAATGAGATAAAACATGATTTTGACAAGATTATGGTCAAAGTCTTAGAGCCACAGTTTTGTCTCAATCATGACAAAGCGCTAGATTCTACACTTCAGTCTTAACATGATGTGAAAAACTCTCATTTCTCACCAGATTAATTCCCATTTCTATTGAATTATAAAGAATCCCAAACATCTATTAGAGTGGAGCGTTTCCAGTGCGCGTGTGTGTGTGTGTGTGCGTGTGGGTGTGTGCGCGTGCATGCGCGTGTGTGTGTGTGTGCATGTGTGTGTGTGCATGTGTGCGTGTGGGATGGACCTGAACCCAGACTGATGGACGTGTGACAATGGTGCAGCCGCGTAGACACAAAATGGCACCTGGGATTTCAGAATGGCATGTTTTTATTCTTGCGTGGGGTCCTGGGGGAGAATGGGACGTGACCCGGGACACATTCCTGACCAGAACAAAACTGCCCCTGGTCTGGGCTTTGTCCCCAGCACCAGCGGCTTTTGTCGCACGTGAGGGACACGGAACAATACTGTGCTCAGCCACAGTGGACCTGCAGTGTCATGGGAAGAGCAGGGAGATGGGTTACTACTGGTTTATACTGGGTTACTACTGGGTTACTACTGGGTTATACTGGGTTACTACTGGTTTATACTGGGTTACTACTGGGTTATACAGGTTTATACTGGGTTACTACTGGCTTACTACTGCTGCTACTACTGGTTTACTACTGGTTTACTACTGTTTGTACTGGGTTACTATTGGGTTACTACTGGTTTACACCTGGTTTACTACTATTAATATAGTCAGGATATGAGGATATGTGGAAAAAATAATAATAAAAAAACAGTTTTATATAGCACTTTTCAGGACTCTCAAACCAGCCAACTTCAGCTCCACCAACACAGTCATGCTGTACCTTGTTGTAAATCTCAGACTCTCTGGAATCCAGCCGTGGTGTGGTCTCTATTGTTATTTACTGACATTTGTTTATGATTGTGTCACAACATTCCACATGAAATGCACCCGTGGATCCATAAAGACGGATCAGAACCCATTTTAAATTCCAGAATCCAGTCCATCCAGTTTTTAAATCCTGGTTGTCGGCCCCAGGTCAAGTCTGATGAACTAAAATGGCCTACAAAGTTTGGACACCCCTGTCACACACAGTGATGATAAACTACTACTGTAGCCACAGCTGCCCTGGGGCACACTGACAGAAGCGACAAGCAAACTTTCGGACCTCTGAAGCTAAGCAGGACAGGGCCTGGTTAGTACCGTGATGAGAGACCTCTGGGAACAGCAGGTGCCACAGTGGGGCGGCTGCGGCTGTAAAGTGGCAAACTGTGGTTGTGTCCTTAGGCAAGACACTTCCCCCACATTAGAATGAGTCTGGTGTGTGTGTGTGTGAGAGTGGTTGGTGGTGGTGGGAGGGGCCGATGGCAGAGAGCTACCTGTATTCAAAGGAAGAGGCAGAGCTACTCCTTTTTGCAGTCATAATAAACTTCCACGAAATAATTCTGACAAAACATGAAAAATATACCATAAAACTCTACAAATCTATAATAAATATAAATATACAATGACTCAAAAGTGAATCATTCAGAATCAATATCAGGAAGTCTCTGCATGTGCACAGCTGCTTTCTGATTCAAACTTTTTTTATTTTAATTGAGACTGAATCACCGCAGCTACAGCCGCAGAAGTCCTCGTCATATCCAGCGAAAAACATAAAACATTATTCACAGGGCACCGCAAATCAGAAATTAAAACCCCAAAAACCTCTCGTGTGACCAATCTGGCAACCCTGCGGGAGCCAGACAATAGGTAATGGTCCAATCTCTGCCTGGTGACGGCCTGACCGTATGTTGGATGAGCTTTGGGGGGTCGTAGCAGAGTTGCAGATGTGGTTCTCGGCGTGGCGCTCTGCCTCATCAGCACCCTGGACAGCTCTAGTCCAAACAGCTCCGTTCCATTCTGCTCCTCCAGCGAGGATAGCTTTCCCTGTTGTTTATGGAAAATACATCTCAGCAATTATCTCCACTCGAACACACACACGCAGAGACACACACACACACACGCAGAGACACACACAGACACACAGACACACACTATTTCCTTCACGAGGCTTTTGCAGAGCCCCAGGCCAAGGATTTTATTGTTTGTGTAATGTAGTAAGTGCGTGTGCGTGTGTGTGTGTGTGTGTGTGTGTGTGGGTCTGTGTGCGTGTGCGTGTGTCTGTGTGTGTGTCTGTGTGTGTAAGTGGTTATGACAATTTGAATGGTTCGAGAGTTAGATACCATGGGGAGCAGACAACAGTGGATAGATTAAGACCCACTGAGTTTTATAGTTTTTCCTCTGATGTTGTCTATCAAGAAGAACATTCTACTACATCTATGGACTTTGGTCTGTCCTCATGGTCCAATACCATGTGGTCTCTCTCTATGGTCCAATACCATGTGGTCTCTCTCTATGGACCAATACCATGTGGTCTCTCTCTATGGTCCAATACCATGTGGTCTCTCTCTATGGACCAATACCATGTGGTCTCTCTCTATGGTCCAATACCATGTGGTCTCTCTCTATGGTCCAATACCATGTGGTCTCTCTCTATGGTCCAATACCATGTGGTCTCTCTCTATGGACCAATACCATGTGGTTTCTCCCTATGGACCAATACCATGTGGTTTCTCCCTATGGACCAATACCATGTGGTTTCTCCCTATGGACCAATACCATGTGGTTTCTCCCTATGGTTTTGTAAAGTCCTTTGAGGAAACTACTGATTTAGGGCGATACAAAAATACATTGAATATAGATTTTAAACTATATGCACTTTATAACATGGACCATTATCTAAGCAAGGCAGGAGAAAACGTACATGAGGTTCAGGTGTGGAAAATAAATTAGATAAAACATTGATCTCACGATGGACAAAGGTATATGTTACTTTTGGCTCCTACTACTACTTTGATCACTTCGATGACTACACATATAAGACAAGATTTATTTTTTATTTTCAACATAGACTTGATTGGTCTGTGAAACATGTTAGAGGTTAAACATATTGTCTGTGCAGGATATCATTATCTACACATCATGGCCTGCAGTGTACAAGAACTTCCACGCTCATTATTAGGCAAAGTTGGGTAAAGTGTCTTGCCCATGGACACAACAACAGCAGACATCAGTGGAGTCAGCGGAGAAGGTGTCGGGGTGGACTCCAACCCACAACCTTCAGGCTCAAAGGCCAATGCTCTACACACTGAGCCACTGTTGTCCCCATAAAGATGTGCAAATAAGTAGTTGCAAACAAGTGTGTGTGTGTGTGTGTGTTTGTATTTTGTTGTTATGGGATTTTTTTTCTAGATTAATTATAGCTACTGTATATTCCAAAAGGTGATGGGGATCTAAATAATAATAATAATAATAATAATAATACTGACTTCCTGTGTCCCAGGTTCAGCGTACTACGATAACGTGCGGCCGCTGGCGTTCCCCGACTGTGACGCGGTCCTCATCTGCTTCGACATCAGCCGCCCGGAGACTCTGGACAGCGTTCTCAAAAAGGTCAGTCACACTTTCACACCAGCGACAACACGACGGAAACATAACCTTTTAGGATCCAGACTTTTTTTAACTCCTCTGTGTTTCACTTGTTAACACGGTCGGCCTCTCACTCGCTGTAGGTCACGGAAACTCAGACTCTTCGTGTTACTTTGAAGAGTATTTAGATTTGAGTTTTACTAGTTTTTGGCCTGGTTTAATTTATTCCATTAACTGCAGGAGAAGGTTTAAAATCATGTAGCGGTAGTAACAGTAGAAGCAGCTCAGTAGTAGAAGTATTAGTACTAATAGCAGCTCAATGGTAGCAGTAACAGTACAGTCCTAGCACCATGGACACAAATACAGAAGGCCAAGTACCAGGTGAATGAATATTTTAAACACTAATTTGAATAAACAAGTCTGCTTTACAAACAGATTAAGCAAATCAAAGTACAGTACTAGTAGCAGTAGCAGCAGTCTTGCTCCTCTCAGCAGTAGTAGTAGCAGTATTCTCAGTAGTAGTAGTAGTAGTAGTAGCAGTAGCAGTACTCTCAGTAGTAGTAGTAGTAGTAGCAGCAGTAGTAGTAGTAGTAGCAGCAGTAGCAGTAGTAGTAGTAGCAGTAGCAGTACTCTCAGTAGTAGTAGTAGTAGTAGCAGCAGTAGCAGTAGTAGTAGTAGCAGTAGTATTAGCAGCAGCAGCAGTAGCAGTAGTAGTAGTAGCAGTAGTAGCAGTACTTTCACATTCTCACATTCCTTGAGTGTCACACTCAGAGCTTGTTTATCCAGAGACAAAACCCACTTGTGCTTGAGTGGCTCCTGGGGGTGCGCCTCACAGCGGCAGGGGTCCCCTCCAGAGGCACCTTGACCCCTGGCCCTGATCATTAGCCCTGAATATGTATTGATCCACAAAGGAATACCCAGAATGCCTCAGTGACAGGTCCAGGGCTCTCAGCTGATTGATATCCAAGTCTTTTCTCAGGTTTCTGTGAGAGATTCTGTGGTTAATGATGTCATCGCCGTTTAATCCACTGCTTTAATCTGCTTTAATCTGATTTAATCTGATTTAAAAACGGATTGAGGAATTTATAGATATTTTATTGATCGTGAGCGATGCAGGTGTCCAGCAGCAGCAACACATTGATACACACAATACATACAATCTAAAAGTTACTAACTAGTGTAATGAATGAAGTCATATATAAGAGGGCCCTAGTCTGTCATCATTAAAGGGCCCTAATCTGTCATCATTAAAGGGCCCTAATCTGTCATCATTAAAGGGCCCTAATCTGTCATCATTAAAGGGCCATAATCTGTCATCATTAAAGGGCCATAATCTGTCATCATTAAAGGGCCCTAATCTGTCATCATTAAAGGGCCCTAATCTGTCATCATTAAAGGGCCATAATCTGTCATCATTAAAGGGCCCTAATCTGTCATTATTAAAGGGCCCTAATCTGTCATTATTAAAGGGCCCTAATCTGTCATCATTAAAGGGCCCTAATCTGTCATCATTAAAGGGCAGATGATGAAAGTCAAAGTTTCAGAAGTGAACTGGTTGAAGCCGGATCGATGCATCTCCAGTTTGCGTCATTTTAAATAATTTGTCTATAGATTTTTAGAAAGCTTGGCCGTTGCCTCAGATAGTGTGGAACATTGGGCGGTCTTTTGTCGCCGGACTAATATATTGTTTTGTGTTTTAAGAATTGACAAAAATGTACAGACGCCACGGATCAATATTTCTGTCCAACCTTCTCACTATTCTTCTCAAACAGGAGCGTTTTCATATATTTGATTTAAAATGTATATGTTCTTGTTCTTCCAGTGGCAAGGAGAGACCCAGGAGTTCTGCCCCAACGCTAAGGTCGTGTTGGTGGGATGTAAACTGGACCTGAGGACAGACATGGGCGTCATGAGGGAGCTAGCTAAGCACCGACTGATCCCTGTCACCCACGAACAGGTGAGAGGCACCCAGTAGCACCCAGTGGGAGCCATTAGCACGTAGTAGCACCCAGTGGGAGCCATTAGCACGTAGTAGCACCCAGTAGGAGCCAGTGGGAGCCAGTGGGAGCCAGTAGCATCAAGTCTTCTTGATTCATAAATGGAAATATTGTATTCAACTGAAAATTCACCTAAAATAAGAAACATTGTGCCAACTATTACCTCATAGTTTATACATTTTTTGCAGTGTGCGACCGTGTTGAAAGTATTTGCTTCATTCACAGAACGAAAACAACACACGGTTTATAATCACACACTCGGTTGGAAACAACAGAGATTACAGACACCTCCATCTGTGACGATGATGGAGTCTGAAGAAGTACAGCTGTTACGCACACACACACACACACACACGCACGCGCACACAACCACACAAACACACACTTTAACATTTGTGTCTCTGTCAAACAAACGTTCAGTGAAAGGGGCAGAGCTGGAGCTGATGTTTGTCTGTAATAAGATCCAACTGCTCCTTCATTCATTCAGAAAGTTCAATTATTCTCTCATCAATTTGAAAAAAATAGTTTGTTTGGAAGGAAACGCATCGTGACATAACAACAATAATAATCAAACTGAATTATAACAAATGCATGAGTTTAATAATCTGTCAGGGATGAAGCAGACAGAGACGGATCGTGGTGCGCCAAACTCTGGAAGTTTATTTAAGTTTCTCTCAAGTTCCAGTGGTTTCCATTGTTTCTTTCTCTCAGACAGAATAAAGGCAGTACACAGTTTATATAGTCATTGTCACGTCACACATCGAAAGACATACGTGTCACAAAGAGACAGTCACATCATAGTCATAATAATCAGAGTCCTTGTAGAGTCCTGCACGTAGGCCACAGTGCTATCTAATACTAACAGATATGGAGACTTTGGAAAGAAACTCATTTTAGTTTTTGTGGAAACCACCATCGCCTGAGGCCCAGAGGGGACTGAGGGGGACCAGAGGGGACTGAGGAGGGACTGAGTAGGGACCGAGGAGACTGAGGAGGGACTGAGGAGGACCAGAGGAGACTGAGGAGGTCCAGAGGGGACTGAGGAGGTCCAGAGGGGACTGAGGAGGTCCAGAGGGGACTGAGGAGGGACTGAGGAGGTCCAGAGGGGACTGAGGAGGGACTGAGTAGGGACCGAGGAGACTGAGAAGGGACTGAGGAGGACCAGAGTCTTTGCTCCAGACCATAAGATCCCGCTGATCAAACAGCACCTTGGCTCTCTTGGCTCCTCCGTCAAATCCAGCCTCAGAAACCTAGGGGTTGTGTTTGACCAGGCCATGTCTCTGGAGACACACTCCAAACAGCTCGTCCGTAACTGCTTTTATCACCTTAGGAACATTGCAAAAATCCGCAATATGTTGTCAAAGAATGATCTGGAAATGATCATTCACGCTTTTATTTCAACAAGACTTGACTATTGCAACTCTGTTTTTACCTGCTTGAATAAGTCTGCACTCAATCAACTTCAAATTGTTCAAAATTCTGCTGCTAGACTTTTAACAGGTGCCCCTCGTAGGTCCCATATCACTCCTGTTCTGTCTGTTCTTCATTGGCTCCCAGTCAAATTCAGGATTGATTTTAAGATCTTAGTGCTGACCTTCAGAGCCTTAAATGGTCAGGCCCCCCAGTACATCCTGAACCTTTTGAGCCTGTACTCCTCTGGCCGTTCTCTCCGGTCCTCTGGCCAGAACCTGCTTGTGGTCCCCAAAACCCATTATAAGGCTCGAGGGGACCGGTCTTTTCAGTCTGTTGCCCCCAGACTGTGGAACGCCCTGCCCCTGTCCCTACGTCTGGTCGACTCTGCGGACTCTTTCAAAAAAGGCTTGAAGACTTATTTATTTAAGAAAGCTTTTAGTTGATTGGGTTCTCACTGATGTCACTTTTAAGTACATAAAATGTGTAATGTGTGTAAGTGTATTTTATATTGTTTGTATTTGCCCACTGTCCTGTACAGCACTTTGTGATTTTTATCTGTGAAAAGCGCTTTATAAATAAACTTTACTTACTTACTTACTACAGAGGAGACTGAGGAGGTCCAGAGGGGACTGAGGAGGTCCAGAGGGGACTGAGGAGGGACTGAGTAGGGACTGAGGAGACTGAGGAGGGACTGAGGAGGACCTGAGGAGACTGAGGAGGGACTGAGGAGGACCTGAGGAGACTGAGGAGGGACTGAGGAGGACCAGAGGAGACTGAGGAGGTCCAGAGGGGACTGAGGAGGTCCAGAGGGGACTGAGGAGGTCCAGAGGGGACTGAGGAGGGACTGAGGAGGTCCAGAGGGGACTGAGGAGGGACTGAGTAGGGACTGAGGAGGACCAGAGGGGGACCAGAGGGGACTGAGGAGGACCAGAGGGGACTGAGGAGGGACTGAGGAGATCCAGAGGGGACTGAGGAGGGACTGAGTAGGGACTGAGGAGGACCAGAGGGGACTGAGGAGGGACTGAGTAGGGACCGAGGAGACTGAGGAGGGACTGAGTTCAGCCGAGTGGCACTGATGCCCTCCCTCTGGCTCAGTCGTCTGCAGAGGTCAAAATAACAGGATCTCTGTAATGTATTAATATATTATAATAAAATATAAGTATATATACTGTATATATATATATATATATATATAATAAAATTCCACATTTCTTATTTACTCTGAAGCTTTTAGACAGATCTGTTTAAAACGGATCATTTGGAAAAGTAAACATTGTCCTCATGAAATCCTTAAGCTACAGTTGATACAAAGATATATTAATAATATTAATATTAAGTGAATCCAGTGCATCAGGACTAAAACAATAATAATAAAGTCAGTAACTTCTGGGTCTGTTCACATAAACACACAGAGAAGCAGGAATGTTTAAACAGATTAATCTAGATACTAACTGTGTGTGTTTGTGTGTGTTTGTGTGCCTATCCCTGTGTATGTCTCTCCTTCACTGTGTGTGTGTCTCTCTCTCTGTGTGTGTGTCTCTCCCTCTCTCTGTGTGTCTCTCCCTCTCTCTGTGTCTCTCCCTCTCTGTGTGTGTTTGTGTGCCTATCTCTGTGTGTGTCCCTGTGTGTATGTCTCTCCTTCTCTGTGTGTGTGTCTCTCCCTCTCTCTCTGTGTGTGTCTCTCTGTGTGTGCGTATCTCTCTCTGTGTGTGTGTGTGTCTCTCTCTCTGTGTGTGTGTGTCTCTCTGTGTGTGTGTGTGTGTGTCTCCCTCTCTGTGTGTGTGTGTGTGTGTGTGTCTCTCCCTCTCTGTGTGTGTCTCTCTCTCTCTCTGTGTGTGTCTCTCTGTGTGTGTGTCTCCCTCTCTGTGTCTGTGTGTGTGTGAGTGTGTCTCTCCCTCTCTGTGTGTGTGTCTCCCTCTCTGTGTGTGTGTGTGTCTCCCTCTCTGTGTCTCTGTGTGTGTCTCTCTGTGTGTGTGTGAGTGTGTCTCTCCCTCTCTGTGTGTGTCTCTCCCTCTCTGTGTGAGTGTGTCTCTCCCTCTCTGTGTGTGTGTCTCCCTCTGTGTGTGTGTGTGTCTCTCTGTGTGTGTTCCTAAGGGCACTACCCTGGCGCGGCAGATGGGGGCAGTAGCGTACGCCGAGTGCACGTCCAAATACTCGGAGAACAGCGTCCGCGACGTGTTCCACGTCACCACCGTGGCGTCCGTGCACCGCATCCACCGCACGCCAATCAAACGGGCCGCCTCCCGCAAAGGGGGGGTCAAGCGGGTGTCCCAGGCCCCGCCCCGGACTGACCACACACCCCCGCCCCCGCTCAGGAAGGACCGGGCCAAGAGCTGCGTCATCATGTAAACAGACACAGTCCAGACCGAGCCGGACCAGACCAGAACAACGCACAAATGTATGGACTTGGATTCTTGTTTTCGGTTTGTTAAAAATGATCCAAAGAAGAAGAAAGCAGCGACTGGAGGCGGCGGACGTCTCTGAGGAAGAGTGTGTCCGGAGGAAGAGTTAGCTGTTTTTATTTACTCAGAGGTTTTATCCAAGAAGGAGGTGGTAGTAGAACACTGTTACATACTTTACTTTACTCTACTTGAAGATTATTGAACAAAAGCGTTGATGGTTCTCAACTGGATTAACCAAGTAATGTTTAATTATATAGCGCCATTCACACCCCAGAGTCACATACCAGTTTACAATCGTGGGCATGTCTCTCGCTCCACACAGAGGTGGGGGCGGGGCCAGTACGGGAGGCGCATGCTAGAACTATTGTACATGTTTTTTTAGTGGTAGGGGAAACCGGAGCACCTGGAGGAAACCTACGCAGATCCATGGATTAGATCAGATACTACAGTTTAATTCATTTTTAAACGGCCTCTGTACATATGTGTGAAAAACGTATGTACTGATGGTGCCCTCTCCGCAGCCTCTTAAGCCCAAGCCCCTCCCATGGGCGTTTCACAATATAATAAATACAAATAATAACAGAACAGCCTTTAACTGCTTAAACTCATCCATACTTGACAATATTATTATTTTACATACCTCCCCTTTAATTTTCTGACTCTAGATTTGAAAATGAAACAGTACTCACATCTTCTTCATAGATTCACTGTTGTTTCCTAACCGGGGAACGCTGACCCCTAGCAGTACGGAGGGGTATTACACTGGAACTCTCTTTTCAAAATGTACAAATATTGACAGCGTTTCAGAACTTGAGCTAGGACTAGACTCAAACCCAGAACCTTCTTAAGACTTAGATTCTTTTGATAAGACAAAACACTGAAGAAAGCTAGTTGTGGTCATCAAGCAGCTTTAACTAACTTAAAGTGATTGTCTGGAGTTTGTCAGAAAGAGAGACAGAGAGGTACTTGATTTTAAAAAAACGACGCAAGCTCCTCCCCCTTCCTTTCTGATTGGTCTACACCTACGTTTCCGTAACACTTTGAAATGTTAATCAGAGAACATATTATACATATACATTATTAATACACATGCACGGAGGTTTTCAGAATTATTTGCAAACGTTTTAATGAAAAAAAAAATGTTTTTATGCACAAAAAAAGCGATCGCGGCAAACCAGGAAGAAGCTATTATCATGAATTGCACATTATAGGACACATCTGCAGAGGATCTGATTATGGATATAGGTTCAGAATATACATAAGTAACTCAGCGCGGATGTTCAGAATTCTTTGTTCAGTTTTCATGTATTTCCAGAGCCTAATAGAGGCTCCGCGAAAACAAACAACTGAGCATGCGCGCAGCTGCGAGCATCAGCGCCGATGATTGACAGCTCTTGGCATGACTCGATTGGTTAACCTCGACGGCACCGTGGATTCTGAGCTATAGAGGGATCCTACGGTCACGTGACCAGCAGCCACGGCAGCCATACTGGAGGACAACCTCGGCGAGTAACAGCCCTGCTAGCTCTCTATAACTGGACGTTCAAAACTAGAACTCTCTCGAACTACATGAAAACTGAACAGAGAATTTGAAACTTCAGCAGTTAGTGACCCAAATATATACTCAACCTAAATTCATGAATCAGATCCTCTGAAAATGCGTCATACAATGTATTATTAATGTTTATCGTTACGTCCAGGTTTACCGCGGTCGCATATTGTTGCATTAAAACAGTGTTTTTTCATGAAAACGTGAACAGAACATTCTGAAAACCTCTGTGCACGTGTATTAAGAATGTATAATGTATTCTCCGATTAACATTTAATGTGTTTATTGTTACACCATGGATCTATGTGTGGCTACACTGCAGTGGAAATAATGAGATTACATTCAAATCAATGGAGCTTTCTGCGTCTACTGTGAGGAGCCGTATATTTTATGAATCAATACTAGTACGGGGCACCCTGGAGCACGGCTCAGTCGTTCACATGTCTGCTGGCCTTCGGTAAGTCAGATACCCTGTGAACAGCTAAGCTACAAGCTAAGCTACAGTCTATGCTACAAGCTAAGCTACAGTCTATACTAAAAGCTAAGCTACAGTCTATGCTACAAGCTAAGCTACAGTCTATACTAAAAGCTAAGCTACAGTCTATGCTACAAGCTAAGCTACAGTCTATGGAGCATCCCCACGTTGCAGTCAGACAGATATGTTTTATCCTTAAACTTCTGTTTGTTTCGGAATAACACTAAATCCATCAAATTGATTTCACTGTAGCAGAAATGAAATGATCCGAGCATATTCGGGCGCTCTGGGGGCTATTAGTTTTTTGTTGTTGCGTATGGTTGTGCCATTTCTCTCTCGTTTCTTTGAGATTTCTTCTGTTTTGGAGCCGTGTGAAGTAAGGACGGCTGCAGTCGGTAACAACTTATTTTCCCTGTCTCTCCTTTTGCTGCAGCCAAAAACGGCAAAAATGTTGAACATTTTAATGCGGTCCCGGGTGCACGCCACTATCATACAGCGTTTGCTTGTCCTGCAGTATGTTCGAGGCATCGTGACGTCACGTGAGATATCTCTATAGCTAAGAGCAGGGGAGGCGGGACTTGCCCGTAATATTAGAATTAATAAAATTACTTATTTTATATCAACATTTAAGGCCAGGAGGTCAATTTAACACATTTCCTAAAATTTGTCATTAATTTAGAGTTACAGACTATCACTTTAAAATAACTGTCTAAGCCTTGAACAGAGAACCTTCTTGATGTGAGGTAGAAGTGCTAACGCTAATCCACGCTCAAAGCCGTGGCCCACCAGTTGAGAACCATCACTCGCACCATGACGGAGAACGACTGGACTGTTCCTCATGTTGTGTTTTATTTTAAAAAAAGCACAAACCGATGCACGTTAAGGACCCAGAGTGATGTCACATGATGAATATTTATCCATAGAAACTGGGCCGTTCCAAACCGAGCAGAGCCGGAGCTTTTGATGGACTTTCTCTGATTTTCACTGAAGCAGAGTTTACTGTGTTTGTGCAAATGAAATAAAAGTTACTGCTGTGTTTCAGTTCCTGCTTTTCCACTGAATATATTTATCTGTAGAGCGCTTTTACTACACACAAAGTCACGACACACAAAGACACGTCACACAAAGTCACGCCACACAAAGTCACGCCACACAAAGTCACATCACAAAGTCACGTCACGACACACAAAGTCAGGACACACAAAGACATGTCACACAAAGTCACATCACAAAGTCACGTCACACAAAGTCACATCACACAGTCACATCACAAAGTCACGTCACGACACACAAAGTCACGTCACAAAGTCACATCACAAAGTCATGACACACAAAGTCACGTCACACAAAGTCACGTCACAAAGTCACATCACAAAGTCACGACACACAAAGTCACGTCACACAAAGTCACATCACAAAGTCACGACACACAAAGTCACGTCACACAAAGTCACATCACAAAGTCACGACACACAAAGTCACGTCACACAAAGTCACATCACACAAAGTCACGTCACACAAAGTCACGTCACATCAAAGTCACGTCACATCAAAGTCACATCACACAAAGTCACGTCACACAAAGTCACGTCACATCAAAGTCACATCACACAAAGTCACATCACAAAGTCACGTCACACAAAGTCACGTCACATCAAAGTCACGTCACACAAAGTCACGTCAGTCACGTCACGTCAGTCACGACACAAAGTCACGCCACACAGTCACGACACACAGTCACGACACACACAGTCACGACACACAAAGTCACGTCACACAAAGTCACGTCACACAAAGTCACGTCACACCGAGTCACGTCACACAAAGTCATGTCACAAAGTCACGACACACAAAGTCACGACACACAAAGTCACGACACACAAAGTCACGACACACAAAGTCACGACACACAAAGTCACGCCACACAAAGTCACGTCACACAAAGTCACGTCACACAAAGTCACATCACACCGAGTCACGTCACACAAAGTCATGTCACAAAGTCACGACACACAAAGTCACGACACACAAAGTCACGACACACAGTCACGACACACAAAGTCACGCCACACAAAGTCACGTCACACAAAGTCACGTCACACCGAGTCACGTCACACAAAGTCATGTCACAAAGTCACGACACACAAAGTCACGTCACACAAAGTCACGACACACAGTCACGTCACACAAAGTCACGTCACAAAGTCATGTCACACAAAGTCACATCACACCGAGTCACGTCACACAAAGTCACGTCACAAAGTCACGTCACACAAAGTCACGTCACAAAGTCACGTCACACAAAGTCATGTCACAAAGTCACGACACACAAAGTCACGACACACAAAGTCACGACACACAAAGTCACGACACACAAAGTCACGCCACACAAAGTCACGTCACACAAAGTCACGTCACACAAAGTCACGTCACACAAAGTCACATCACACCGAGTCACGTCACACAAAGTCATGTCACAAAGTCACGACACACAAAGTCACGACACACAAAGTCACGACACACAGTCACGACACACAAAGTCACGCCACACAAAGTCACGTCACACAAAGTCACGTCACACCGAGTCACGTCACACAAAGTCATGTCACAAAGTCACGACACACAAAGTCACGTCACACAAAGTCACGACACACAGTCACGTCACACAAAGTCACGTCACAAAGTCATGTCACACAAAGTCACATCACACCGAGTCACGTCACACAAAGTCACGTCACAAAGTCACGTCACACAAAGTCACGTCACAAAGTCACGTCACACAAAGTCACGTCACAAAGTCACGTCACACAAAGTCACGTCACAAAGTCACGTCACACAAAGTCACGTCACAAAGTCACGTCACACAAAGTCACGTCACAAAGTCACACATAAAACCCACCCATCCGAGCCTTAATCTTTCATC